TCAATGTTATTCTTCTCGCATAGATGGCCTCTATATTCTATAATAATAATAATAATTGATGATAATAATAGTTCTTATTTAAGTATTTTCAAGTATTTCAATAAATATCCATAACCACAATACAAAAATAGTTTTATTTCATATTAATTCGACTAAATGTAACGTCATTTACTTAGACAATGCATCTGACATGTAGTTAGTAGGGGTGTTCAAATGGTTACCATGGTTATTACCAAACCAAATAAGGCTAAATTTCATTAACCATGGAATACAATATCATAACCAAACCGTCCAAACTAATATAACAACCAAATTAACCAAACTAAAGTTTAATTGGACTGGTTAATTGGTTAACTAGATTAACCAATATAAAATCACATTATCATTAAGTGAGAAAATTTTCGGTTAATTTATCAATTCACAATTTATATAATGAATAAAACATAACAATCAACCCATAGTTATAGTTGACCCTTAACATAAATACATGCAACTAAGACAATTATCTTACGGTTAGTATAGAAGTATTCACCTAACAAAAATTTATCACAATGGTATGGGTTAATGAATTGTTGTGTTTGTTTGATTGACTTAGTCTTTTAGCAATTTTCATAGGCTGAAAAGGACCTTGCTTTCAAGTTTTCATCCAACATAATGTACGAGATTTATCTAAACTAGGCGTTCATATGTTGTGGTCTACACTCTAAATATACAAATATACGTTATAGGAACAATATCAAGCTTTATATTTTATGAGTCTAAAAGGGATGAACGTTTAACTCTTGAGTGGTTATTCAAAGTATTAAGTATGTGTATATATTAGATATATGGCTAATTATTTATCTGGTTAATTTGGTTTGGCTGGTTAGGAGTGTCTGAAACCAAACCAAACCACCTAAACCAAACAAGCTAAGAACTTCAACCAAACCAAACCAATTTTCCAAATTAACCAAACCAAATTATCCAAATAATATTGGTTAAAACGGTTATCATGGTAACCACACCGTTTGAACACCCCTAGTAGTTAGCCTCATTTTCTGCATATACTGGTTTGAAAAAATAGATCATGGATTTGTTAAAAACTCGCCCTACTTGCCTTTGCTATCGTTTTAATGTCATTTAAGATTTCTCTGCATTTAAGTTTTTTTTTGTATTTTCATTTAAACTTTCAGTATTTCTTTATGACAATTGAACCCAAATCCATGTGTGTTCGACCTAATTTGGACAATTAAAGTGAATTGAATCGATGTTCACAAATTTTGGGTCGTGAGCGAGTTTTGCTCACTTCTGTAATTGACGGGTTGAATCAGGAGTGGATTTTTAAAAAAAAAACTCGGATTGATTTCCATCCAATCCGCACCTATAAAACAAGATAATCGATGTGGTCAAAACGGGTTGAACCCGGTGTCGATGAGCTTTGGTTGAGACCATTAGAATTAGCATAAAATGCACCCAGAATCACTGTCCAATTTCATAGTAATGGTTTCGTTTGTCTTTTCAGTTGGGGTCATGAATTCATGGAGTGATGTATCCCTAGAGGACCTATCAAGACTGTTTGTGAAATTTGCTAAGCCTTGAAGTGGATCCATTCGCACTAAAAGAGAAAAGTGGACTAGGACTAGCCATGTGTCTCTATCTTCATTGTCAAGCTAGAGAATATTGATAATCATGAACTTCGAATATAATCACACTGCAACATAAACACGACCTAGCAAACGTGGTGTCTAAAGCTTGAGGAATACCGCTGCAGAGCGCGGCACAGCACTAAACTAGTGTACGTGAAAATGGAAAAAGAATAGAGATTCATGTGAATAAAGTGACATGTTGTATTTATCAAATCTCATCGCGAATTTTTTCAAATTCACAGGCCACGAATTTAGCACAAAGAAGTTTTCATAGCACAAAAAAGTTCTCATTCAAATTCCCGCTCTAGCCCGGATTTGGCCTCCATGGCGTGCACACTACGTTCCCGGGAACTCCTGCCTCTAGTGCTCTGCCCCCAGGAATGATCTCTGGCAGCCAAGGTACTGATCATCTAGTTCAGTTCGGGTGGAGTTTTGGTGAGAATGTCTTCTCCTGGGCATAGGGACTCGATCACCCTCTGGCTTTCTGGAGAGAGAGAGCACTATAGAAGTTCCCCACGGTGAATGCATCACTGGAGCCGTGATGGGGACACTGCCAGAAAAATCCCGAGTACCGCTCCCATGCATCACGAAGTGACTCATCTAGCTCTTGGCGGAAATGAGTGATCTCCGGCTGAATCTCTGTAGTCTTTGATGCCGGATAGTACCTATGCACGAACTTGTTGGCCAGATCGTCCCAGGAAGTGATGGGCAATGAGGGCTGGGTCTCTAACTACCTCTTCGCATGCCCCACCAGAGAATGGGGGAAGAGGTGAAGATGGATCGCATCATCGAGTACACCATTCATCTTGAACCCGTTTGTCAGCTGCAGGAACCAGGAAAGGTGCACCCTTGCCTCCTCATCCTTCAAGCCATGGAACTGGATAGAAGATGTAATCAGTTGAATCCAGCATGGCTTGATCTCGAAGTTGTTCGCGGGAATGGGTGGATAGAGGATGACGGGGCGGATGTCGGCGACCCATGGAGTGTAGTAGTACTCCATAGTAGGACCCGGTGGCGGTGGTTGATGTTGAACCCCATTTGCCTGGGGTATTGGGTTGTTCCCCAGGATCTGATTCACTGGGGGAACCTGGAGAGGCATCCCCTGGGGCGAGTTTTGCGCACCGTCCATCTCGTACTCTTCCTCAGAATCGCTGCTCAAGTGGCCGTCGATGCGCTCCTCTGTAGCCAGTCTTGCTCGCTGTTGTCTCCTTAGTTGGCGACAGGTGCGTTCTAGCTCCGGATCCAACGGTAGTAAAGCTCCCGACTGGCTACGGGTCATGCACTACCTTCAGACATTCAAGCAAGCAAACCCGTGAAGGCACAAGTGGGAAAAAGCAAACAGTCAATTCGAAAATGGAAATGCTAAAGTAACAGAAATCACGTTTCTTCAACAACCTAGCCGTCCCCGGCAAAAGCGTCAAAAACTTGACTTGCCTCTACCGTCACACTAGAAAATGACCAAGTGTAACCACCTACTAGAGCGTAGTGTAGCGGGTTTGGATTTTCATGTCAACCCGGGTCCTAAGTGTGCTGACTACTCCGTAAATTCTTATTATTTAGCAGCTTAAACGTAGTGAAGGTCTCAGTAAACAAACAAGCAAACCAGTAAAAGGTTGTTTTCAAGTTGAGAGAGGTCACCCGGATATGGTTCCCCCAAGACTACAGTTAAGCCAGATTGTAATTTACCAAGTTCGAATTCAAAGATAGTTATAGTGCGGGAGGTTCTTAAACAGTCTGCAGTCTCGACTAAAGGTCTGCAGACCCTCTCAATCTGAGTCCCCAGCGGAAGACTAACCTCCACTGGAGTAAACAGATTGAGGCCCTAACGAACCAAACCTCATCTACCGAAGTAAATCTGGTGCAGAATAGTGAATTGACTCCTCGACTAAAGTCTTCAATTCACTACCTTCAATCAAGGGTGCTCTATCAACCTAGGCAGATATTCTCTTTCTAGGTCAAAGCAGAAATAACAGGAATTTGATCAAGATTCATGCCTTATCAAATCAGACCTCAATTGAATATAATTAAATCAATGGATTCATACTTGGGTTCATACAATCAGACCTAACATACAAATCTAGGGTTCTTCATACCCAGGTGAATGTGGAAGTTACTCCATGGAGAGACAATCAAACTCTAGCTCAGAAGCAGAAAACATGTTGTAAAGAATGAGGTTTTGCTTATGGTCGTCAATCGGCACTTCTCCAAGCGTTATCTGGGCTCCAGTGATGATGAAGATCGATCTAAGGCGCTTGGGAACTCTGGTTCGTCGCTTTCTCTCTCTAGATATCACTTTCTTTCTCTAAAACTCGGAACCCTTGCAAAATTGGCCTTCTTTCCCTTAAAAACCAGCTGCTCGCGATCCCCGACCATAATCCTTGGTCGGGTATTTCAGGTGCCCGGCCGGGGATTTCGAAATGCAGCGCAGCGGTATAGGGGATAATACTAGATCGAGGTCAAGAATACCCGATAGGGTTTTTTTCACTCTCTGGCCGGGACACCTTCTGCTTTCTGGGCGTCCAAAACTGCTTTCCCCGGCCTCCTCGAAATTTTACCCGGCCGGGTATTATTGCTCACGGCCGGGTATTTTGCTCCTCCAGCACCCTTCAACTCAAACGTCCTCCTTTTGACCCGAAACTCGTTTCTTCGCCTCAACGTTAATGCCAAGCCCTGAAATATGACATAAACACACAACCTAGCGTGAAATCGTCTTAAAACACGAGAATCTCTTCTCCAACGACTCAAGAATATGGATATAAACATGTGTAATTATTGGTCTATCACCTCCCCAACATCATAATCCGATAACCCCTCGGACCATCCACAATGTGAGAGAGAGGGAAAGGTGGGAAAATAGGGGGAAAAAAGGGAAAAGGGGAGGGTTTGGTCACAATGTAGTGGTGAGAAAAAGATGTATTTGGTTTAGCACGTTTTTTTTGGTAAAATCAATCTATAGTTGATTTCATCACTTTATTTTTACATAGTTAGTTGTAATTAATTAATATGAACATTTTGATATAATTTTTTTTTTTAATTTGGACATAAATTTTTTCAGGGTTAATTGTATGGTTGGTCACTAAGATTACAAAAAACGTTCAAGTTTGGTCACTCGAAATATTTAAATCCATTGGTGGTACTTCAGTTTACTAAAACCGTTCACATTTGGTCACTCTCCGTCCAACTCCGTTAACTTTGGCTGATGTGGCAGTCAACTCTAAAAATTGACCGTTAAATAAGTGAGGTGGCAATTAAGAAATAATAAATAAAATAAAATTTAATCTATTTTAATATTTAATTCATTTTTACCTTAAAGTAAATAAACAAAACAAAAAAATATTATAATTACTAAATTAGGGAAATTACTAGCTAAAGTCGGTAGAGCCGCCTGATCTCCTCTTCCTCGAAGGCGGCTCTCATGGTCTCACGGAACCTCTGGGCGGTACAGAACCCGATCTCGAATGGCTGGAAGCTCTTCCATTCTAGCGTGTCGGCATCGGTCCTCTCCCTCAGCAGCTGCCGGTTTGAACGACATGTACTTGTGAGGGATCTTTCGCTTCCGCAATCCCTTGCCGATGTACACCGTCAGGCCCTCTCCCTCTTCCCGCTGTCGATGATCGAAAGACGCTTCTTCATCGTCGCACCAAGGCAGCGGCGGTCCTCCAATTCGTCGTCTTCCTCATCGTACCAACGGTCGACGATCAACCGGGAGTCCTCTGACTCACGGTGGACGGAGTGGTCTTCGAAAAAGTTGCCACTATGGGTTAGCTTTGTTGGCTTCTTACACAACGAAGACATTTTTTCTTCTTCTTCTTCCCACCTGACGATTGGAATCGAAGAGGAAAGCGGCGGGAAAGCACAAGCAGAAGGAGAGGAAGAGGCGTCGTCTTTCTGTGCAGATCTAAAGGGAAGAAACAAATTAAGAAATAGGGAGGAGAGAGGGGATGAATTACAGTGTCCCGTTGAGATGAATCGAGAAAATGGAAAGGTCAAGAGAACGGAGGAGCTCTGGAAATCCAGCCAGCACGCCGGCGTCGAATGAGACTTGCATTATTAACCGGCTTTAAAGGTCGGTCTCCAGATGCACTCCCGTCTTCCTCGCCTTCTTCTCCCCACCGTCGCCTATCAACAGCAGCTTCTTCAACATTGATCGAACGCCTCTGCTGCCGTCGCCTGTTGGTTACGATCGAATTTATTTTCCGTCCATAACCCCACGCATGCACCATTGCCGCCGTACCCTCCGTGGCTAACCTTCCTCAGAAGACAGGAAAGCGCTCTCTCACTGTGGAAACTGTTATGACAAATTGTAATAGATTAAAATTTATATTATTTTTTAATTGCCACGTCACTTAGTTAACGGTCAACATTGAGAGTTGACTGCCACATCAGCGAAAGTTAACGGAGTTGGACAGAGAGTGACGAAACGTGACCGGTTTTAATAAATTGAAGTACCACCAATGGATTTAAATATTTCGAGTCACCAAATTTGAACGTATTTTGTAATCTCAGTGACCAACCATGCATTAATGACGAAATCACAATAATTTACACAAGAAAGTTGTTACATTAATAATTGAACATAAAAATAATTAAGAAGAAATAAAAATAAGCAAACAAATACTAAACCCCCTAAAAACAAACATTAAACCATAAAAATAATAACAAAAAATAAAAAAAAAAGCAACCTGACGCGGGCCCCACCCCTCACCCCTTCCTAGGGGTGGTAAACAGTAATCCGGTAAACGGTTTACCGTTTTACCGAACCGATAGCCGGCGGTAAATGGTAAACCGTTTACCAGCGGTATCGGCAGCCGAGCGGGAAGTTGGGGGAGTCGTTTTACCGGATACGGTATCGGTAAATACCGACGGTAAGTCAATAATATCGATACAGAAATCCCCCTCCCTAGTGTTGCGCTGCGTTTTGCTGCTTTACCCCCAAACGGCCAAACCCTAAAAACACTTCCCACTTCCCAGCGACCACGCCCGAGCCCTCCCCTCTTTTCGTTTTTTCCATAACCGTCGCGCAGCCACCTGACCTCTCCAGGTCTCCTCTTCTCGACGTTCTCGTCTTCCTTCGAGGCTTCGACAGGCGGCGACGGCGGCGACCGTGGAGCGACGGCAACAGGCTACTCCGACTCGCGCACTTCCCTCGCCGGGTCTCTCCCTTCCCTCGCCGACGTGCGATGCGTACCCAGTCGCCACCCCTTCCCGTCGCAGTCCTCATCCGCGGCCCCGTCACATTCCGGCTTCCCCTTCCCGTCGCCAGCCCTTCCCGTTCCCAATTCCCAGTCCTCCCCCGCTCCTGCCATCCTCGCCTGGAAGTAAGAATTGTTGAATTGCAGAATTGGTTCCCCTGCCCTGCTGTGTGTTACAACATCACCCCACTTCCAAAAATTCGGTTCGATAAATATTCGGTAAACCGCCTGAAGTCGCTTTTAACGGTATTTCGGTAATACCGGTTTGTAACCGTTTACCGGTAATTCGGTAATCGGTAAACCGGTTACAAACCGGTATCGGTAATCGGTAACCAATTTGGCCAACTTCGGTATACCGAAACCGATAAATTCGGTAAACAATTTACCGTTTACCGAACCGAATCCCACCCCTACCCCTTCCTCCCTTTTTTGTCTTCTTCATGTGGGTATTCCCCCTCATTTTACCTCATTTCTCCATCTTCTCCACTTTTTCCACCCACGTTGTGGGATTCTTTCCTATTTTTCCCCTTAAACCCACCCACATTGTGAATGGTCTCATCTTAAGCCTTTAAAAAGTGCTCAAGATAGGGTTCATAACCTTAGGGTGTTTAACATGAGTAACCAAATCTAGACCATTCTTTTAAATGACTGTAGATTTAAGGGTTGTAAATTAAAGACATTTTATTTTCCCTATTTTTCTTAATCGGATCATATCATCTTCATTCTAACTCGGATTTCATTTTTTTTTTTTTTTTTTGAACAGATAGAACGAGTTCGTTGTGCTCTACAAAATAAAATTCATTTTCAATATTTTTTTTAGAAAAAAATTACATACCTCTTGTTACCAACTCCATACCATATGGTATCTCCTTCATTTTTTAGTCGTTTTCAGAATTTTTTGCACAGAAAGAACGATTTAATCATGATCTATTGGATTTCAAAAATTTATGGGTGAAAAAATTTCATACCTCTCGTTACCAACTCCATACCGTACTATACCACCTTGGTATGGGGTGGTATTTTTCATACCATATGGTATGCTCTTATTTAATACTAGTCAATACCATATGGTATAGACTGGTAATAACTGGGCTTGAGTTCAAGTCCTTAAGCCTCATTTCTTAAGGAAAATCTTAAAGTTTTCCTATTGGCTGATAGTGGATTAGGTAGTTAATAGGTAGTTAAGGGTAAATAGGGTTATAATTAATTAATGATTCTCTTTCTCCCTCCTCCCATAATTTTCTCCATAACTCTCTCTCTCTACATTATAATCAAAAAGAAATATGAAATTAATTTTATTTAATATTTAATAAAATCCGAATTTAATAATTTTATTTTTCTAAAATGGAAATTTGAAATTTAAAATATATGTCTCTCTCACATCTTGGCAACTTCCGATTAGTATTACGTATTAACATTTTGTAATGACATTATCAATATTTATAAATTGAATCATCATTAGGGCTTTTCATTGCATGGGTTTGAGATTTTTCGTTGTTAGGTATTCGTTTTTGTTATTATTAATGGTGTTCGACATGTTTTTTAATAATTTTATATGACATTATTAACTTTTTATGTTATGTTTTGTTTGTAACATTAGTAAAAGTGAAATTGTGTTTTCAATTTGTCGGTACTTGAAGTTTATTTACTATTACATCGTATTATCAATTTGATTCGCAATGATTTATAATAATTTGAAGTGCTATTATCAATATTTTTTTCCAAGCACAATACAACCATTAACAAATATTTAATTCATTTGTAAGATTGCTTATGTTTAGTGATTTGAATTATTAATTTTTTTTTTTGTTTATGTTTGTAACTTTGTCAAATGTGAAGCATATTTGTTAGATATTCGTTTGTTTATGACATTATCAAAAGTGAATTTACGTTTAATGATATAACTATGTTTATTAATCTTTCAGTCTAAGTTAGTAACGTAGTTTGGTGTCATTATTAATAGGCGTGTATAAGCATTATCAATGTTTGAAAATAAGATATTAATAATATCTAATAAGGTACTTAAAAATCATTAGTTGCTATCAATATCAAAGTTTTTGGATGCATTATCCATTAAACACATGTTACTTATTAATGCGTTTTTAGTACTATTTGACATTAAACATTGCATCTGAATATTATTAATATTTTTATATTACAAAAATCTATTTCCTTATCAGTGACTTGATCATTCGATATTAATGGTTTTTAATATCTTTATTAAAAGTTTGATGTCATTTATAATGTTGAAGTCGGACATTTTTACATTGATGTTTTGTGTTTATTTTCAACGAAATACTTTTCGTTATCAATGATTTATTGTATTGTTATTAAAAGTTTGCTGTTGAGGCGTGAATGTTGGTTTGCTTGAGCTAATATTTTTCTGGACAATGTTTGCTTGACTGAATCACACAGGTGCACTATGTCACAAGTACCCAAGATGTTGAAAATTAGTATTGTGCTTTATGATAATTGAGAATGATAATGTAAAACAATATTAATTGATCATAAAACGTTAATAATGTCATTAGAAATCATTGGAAGAGACCATGACTAGATAGTTATAAACATGATGTGAAAATGTGAATCATTAGTACTAAAGATGTTGTAAATCAATGATATTGTAATTCAAACTATTAATGACTATGTTACATAACTTTAATGATTCATTCATAGGCGTTGATGACGAAAATATAAAACAGTAACAATTGATCCAAAATTTTTAATAATGTAATTGTAAGGAATTAATAAATATATTGAAGTCGTTAATAATGATGATGTATAATAATAACGATTCATTTCATATATGTTGATAATGTCATTGCAAAATGTTAATACTGTATTGCAAGTTACCACGAAGTGAGAGAGAGCATATATTTTTAATTTCAATTTTCATTTTAAAAAATAAAAAATATTAAATTCGAATTTATTAAATATTAAATAGTAATATTTAATTAAATTAATTTTGAATTTTCTTTTAATTGTAGTGGAGAGAGAGAGAGTTATGGAGAAGATCAAGGGAGAGAGAGAGAAAGAGAATCATTAATGAATAATATTAATTATATTTTCATAATATCTTATTTATTCCAACTAACTATTAACTAATAACCCCTCATTAACTACCTAATCTAGTATCAGCCAATAAAAATGGTTTAAGAACCTCCTTAAACAATGAGGCTTAAGGACAGGATCCAACCCGTAATAACTGGCTCAAATTTTTTTGTTCCAAAATATATCAAAGTGGATATCATTTTGAAGAGCACAATTAATCTTATCTAATTGTGCAAAAAAATTAAATACCGACTTAAAACGAGTGAGAAATCGTTTGATAAAGATTAGGGGAGAATTAAAGCCTTTCCAAGAGAGAGGAGAGGCGCTGATGTGGCGGATTCTAATTGGGTTATGCATGGGGTTATTGACCACAAGGTTATGCACCTGATCCACTCTTCCTTTAAAAACAGATTCATTGGTTAAATTCCTCAAAGTCATAATTTTATTAGAAAGTTATCATCTGTTAATTATCGAGAGGCAAAGAGCCAGAACTAGCGATGACGGCCAGGAGGTGCAGCTTCGTGTAGTTCATGGGGGCACACTGTAGTTCAGCACCCAGAACCGACTGAACGGTTCTAGTGGCTCGAACAGTTAACCGTCCTAGCTGCTCCCCAACCGCCATTTCCAACCATAGAGGTAGGAAGATGATTTTTCTTTCACAACCGTTATCACATTGTTTAGAACTAGCGTGCCCCCGGCCAGTTGACCGGAGGAAGATAAGCTATGGAATTTGAGAATGTAATGCAGTGTAGAACTTATTATTGTATAGTTTTTTTTTTTTTTGGAAACACACGTGATAAAGATAGTGAATTTTAGCAAGAAAGAGACATGAATGATGCAACGCATCAAAAATCAACCTTACAAACCAAGTTCGAGTACCTGTTACCTTATGAAATAGTATTATTTCTGGTAATATGATGAGGTGAAATCAGTTTTATAGAGTTTGATGCTTATGTATTGTATCTCACTTCAAAAGAAACAAATATTGACTAATAGTTGAGTTTAGCTTTTTCCTATTTATGCTATGGTTTGTTAGTCAATATTTCTTGTTATGTTAGTTTTCTTTTCAACCACGGACAACCAAATGACAACATACTTAACCAAAACAATTCATAAATGATTATTAAATATTGTAATAGTCTTTACAAATACAATGTTCAATCATTGATGAAAGATTATTAATATTTCAATAGTTTAAAAATAATTTTGATGACACTTCACTTGTATTCAAAATTTTGCATTTCTAATAATCCAAAAAAAGTAAAATATACCTCACAAATATATTGTGTTCAAATGACATTTCGGCCAACAAATTGGTTACCGAAAGAATAGAGGAAACATAACATAATCATCAGGGGTGTTAAAGTGAGCCCGTTGGGTTGAATCGGGTTGCACTTTTTTGTAATTTCCTATTTTAATTTTTAATTATTTGTTTTTTTCTTGGGTTGATTGACTTGGTTGGGTTTGTTGGCTCCGATACCAAGAATCTGATCAAAGAATTTTATACCCAAAAATTGATATGCCCTCATGATGTTACATAAAGATTCTGACCAAAGAATCTGATACCCAAAAATTGATATACACTCATGGTCTTTTTTATGTAACTTTGATTTCTTCATTTTTTTTCCTTGTTCTTCATGGAAGAGAAATTTTACAATACTAGAAGAACAATTACAAAATGATACTCAAAAATCTTCAATACTATCATAAGTATTAATGACTACAGAAAATATATCATTAAAAATAAAAAAAACTAGGAAAACAGATAAATGACTATCAAGGAGTCATAATAAATAAATTGAAAGAAAGTAATAAACATCTAAAAACAATATTAAAATATCAAGTGAACGAAAAACATAAAGAATTGTACTCTAATCTAGAAATAACTAAAAATATAATAGACAATATTATCCGGTAAATAAAGGATAAAGAAAAAGCTATTGCAAACTCTAATATCGAAGAAAATGAAATACTAGCAGAGGAAAACCGTAGAGAAATAATAATAACCTTCAAGAAATTATAGTTAAATTAGAAAATACACGATACCATACTATCGAAGACATGAAAGAATGTTTGAAAGATCATAATATTTCTAGTAGTGATTTACTAGAAATGATTGTTGCACCTTATACATTATGACTACTATTGAAGAAAATATTAACAAACTAAATGATTTACTAATGGCTTTAAGCATTGAGTCCGATAATGAAGAAAATATCGAGAATGAAAAAGTAGTTTTAGATTATAGTAGTGATGAAAATCCTTACACAAATTATGTCAAAACAGAAACTAATCCTTTTTATTCTACCGAAAAGGGAGGACACTTGCAAACAATTCCATCAAAAACATATAAGCGAATGTTTAATAAATACAACAATGGACAAATATCATTTGACGAATATCTTTATAAAAATTACTACACTCCTCGTAGGGAGGGAGGATGGACTAAAATTCCTCATTCATATATTCCAAAAATATTCTACAACAAGTTATAATAGCTCAGATATTTTAGATTTAGATTGTAGTACTAATTCATTAAAAAACTAGAAGATTGGAAAAATCGAACAGGACTATTAATTCAAACTAACGAAGATTTACAGAAACTACAACCTAGCGAATTATTTAATTTCATAATATATAAAACCACTGGAGCAGTTTACCACTATCTAAGTACAATGGATATTCCAACAAAAACAGTTCTATACGGAGACGATGCCATAAAAACTTTTGAAAAAAATATTAAATGCTTTGACCTATGGATTCCTAGGAAGATATCCGCGGGAGAGAGAGAAAGTAATGCAACCTTGAGTAATCAAGCTATTTGACACTTAACGAATTTAAGAATCTGTAATATCTGTTATCTAGAATCATTCATTTGTGAATTTAAAATAAATTACTATCAAGTTACTCCAATAGCAAGAAAAGACTTGGACAAATTATTCTTTTCTAAATCACCACTAATAGTATCAGAAAAAGTAAAAACTTCCTTCAACGAAGCAGTTCAAAAAAGAGAAGTACTAGATACATTAGCAGGACGAATTTTAACATTACAAGAATGGCATAAAAGAGCTTGTAATAAAGAAAAGCTGAAAAAAGCAAAAATTTATCTTTGTTGTGAAGCTTCCACATATATAATAGGAAAATACGGATGTAATAGTTAAAACTAAAGAATAAAGAAAAAACAAAAAATGAAAAGTATAAAAAATGGCAAAAAAATACCTTATAAAGAATATAGGAAAAATAAGTATAGAATTTCTAATAAATATTTCCGAAATAGAAAACAATATAAACAAAAAACAAGACAGAAAGATTATTGTTCTTCTTAGCCAACGAAAGCAGCAGTAATGGCAATGCTATATATATGGCAAAAAATCACAACCTACAGTAGCTAGCAGATAAAAACTTCCAGACATATATATAATAATATATGTATAGCTTTACTAGCATATATATATATATATATATATGCTTTGTACCCCAATTAGAGCCCATATAGCGAAGTGGATTCAGCCCGACCAAAAGTACCTACCTCAACAGTAGGAAACCTTCGCTCCCATTTAGGGTCTATCGATTCATGCTACCTAGGCTGTTTGATTTTGACTCGTAGTTGCACTAGATCGATTCTCCATCCAGATTCTCCTTCGCATGAACTGGCAGGCGCTTCTGAAAGCACCGAAACTTTGTATGCTTCCTTTTCATTGCCTCATGTCTTTCTCTTGTTCATATTCATAATGGAATTAACCTAATGCACCACAGCTGTATATCCCATTAATAAACACAAGGGAAAAGAGGTCATATTTGGCCGGTTGAGAAAGGGAAAAGGAGGAAAGAAAATCAAAAGAAAAGAAACAGATGATAGCATCTTGTGAAAGGGAACACGTGCAGACAAATTATTTGGCTCCACTAATTATTTGTTTTCCCTTTTCGATCAATGCAGCGGCGATAATTGAGTTCTTCCGGATCGGGAGTCTCGATTGTAGAGCGAGTCGTGGGCAACGAATAGGAACCAGACGGTAATCGACATGTTCGGTAAATAAGACAGCAACCAAACGTCTTAAAATTATTAGAAACCGAACAGAAAAATAGGGTAACCGATCTGGCTGAGTCGGGGACTAGGTCGCTCTCTTTAAGACGTTCGCGGCGCTGCCTTCATTGCGCACGGCAGACTATCAGCCGGTCGCCTCCAAGATAAAACAGTCACTCTAATTTTGTTGCTCATCGGTTTTGTGCGAAAATCGGAGCTCTATGAACTCACTCTCTTTCTCGTGTTTCTGCTCTCTGAGGTCTGTTTAGAGGGTCTGGAGGTCTGCTATTTGTTGGAACAGAAAACCCAGAATATTCCCTCTTTCTTTGGGAATAAGTCACATTTTAATTGGGGAGATAATTACTCTCATAATTAAAATATAATCTCTTAAGATAATTAATCCTAATTATCTCCATAATATTCCTTTTATTAATTATCCATTTTATCTTTGTATTATGGTAAAATATTGGATAATTAATTAGGAATTTCATTTATAACTTTTCAAAGCTATTCATCCCAACAATTTCGAGGGATTTACACCAGTTGGGCTAGCATCCCAACATATTGTTGGGCATAATGTTAAACACATTCACATCCAAGGAAGCAGATCAAGCATTCAAAGAATCATACAAAGCTCTTGCCATGAAGCAAAAAGTGGAACCAACCACTTCACAACAACATTTGGCGATGAGAATTCCAGGTATCAATATAAAAAATATCCTGGCCACAAAGGAAAGGGAAGAAGCTAAAAACCCATACTTCAGAAATTCCAACAATGTTGGAATGATCTTCTCAACTATGAAGAAATCCATACTACCATGGGATTTTACCCAACATTCAAAGGTGGACCAAAAGCACTAGTCACAGAAGAAGCTTCACCAGCAACAGTATTCGTCTTTATCAATATGGATTATTGGACACCATTTACACCAAAAAGATTAACATCTTCGACAAATTTCCTATTGAATTCAAGATGACTGTGAAAAGATATCTTGAATTCTTTGCCAAATGAAGAGAGATTTATCTGAGATGTCCAGCTATCCAGTATTCAACCAAGAAGAAATGACTATACCATCAAAGGCCATCATCAAAATGGGAGTTTCAAATGGAAATTACCCAACAAGGGGTGACCTGAATACAGTCAAAATACCAGAAGACTATCAGGTGAAATCATTATTTTCGGTGTGTCTAGCCATTTACTACATTAACCCAACAGACAACCTCAAGGTCAATTGTGGGAGCAACCATAAAGTCATCATCAGTAATTCCAAGACACAATTTACTACAGAAGAATGGAGCCTAATCACAGATCTAGCCAAAGTTTTCATCAATATAGAAGGAACATTGACTCCACTAGCAACAGAACAAAAACAACTGCTGTGTGAATTATTGCAACTACACGAAGATCATATCTGCATTCATTGGGCAGTCGACACGACCACCACTACCACTAGCAGCAATGATGGAGAAGAATAGAAAGAAAGAAGACAAGGATGACTCACCTTCAAGATAAAATAAAAAAGATGATAGCTACATCACACTAAACCTTGTCTAGTTGTCTTCGCAAAACTTTCCTTGCAAATGTAGCCTTGTATTGTAAAACTAGTTTGTTTGTTTTCTCACTTGTTGGAAAGTTATGTAAGCCCTTACGTATAAGCAGGTTATGAACCTGCTATAAATATGTTTGCGAAGAGGTCATAAGGGGGAAGAGAATAAAATTTTCAGTTTGAGAATTTTCTCTCAAAGCCAAGACTCTGTCTTGAGGTGCCTAGGCACTTAATGTTTGAGGTAATACTTTGGAGACACTCTTATCCCCCATAAAAAACACCACACGACAAAAATCATCAAACCTGCAAAAATTCCCAAACGCAACTCCAACGACCATCACCAGCATTCTTCACTCAGTATCACCATGAAGACGTCAAACAACAAGGAATCAAACCATTCAAACTAAACAAGAACTAGGTATGTTTGATAAACCTAGTACCGGTAAAAATTATTTTGGGTATTTAAGCAAGAATGAAGAAGAACACTATTTCTTGGATGGTATCATAGATATTAAGAAAATCAAGGAGCAAACTAATTTTACCTTATCAAAAACTCGAAACTTTATCACCAAGCCATTCTTATCTAAACTCTTTGATAGAATAAATATAATTAAATATAGAAAGATGATAGGAGAAACAACAATACCTATAGAACAAACCAAAGGAGATTTTCTAATTCAAATACTAAACAAAGAACAAATTAGGAAAAATTTATCAAAATTACAACAAGAAGAACGAAGTAAAATATCTTATATTCATATTAGCACGAGAAATAAGAGATGACAGACTCGTTAATGATGAAGAAAGTATAATAGCAAAAGGACAAGGAAATTTAGGAGTAGGAATAATTAAATTTGATATTAATTTACAATAAGGTCTAAGTCTAACGGACGGAAATCTTGATTCTTCAATTATTATAAAAATATGAATTAAAATGAGAAAATTCTATGAGGGAAAATAATAAACCATTTTCAGTAACATACCAAATAAACTACGCCTCAACCAATAGTCATCATAGTTTAGCATTCAAGGATAAGAAAGCTATTACCATAGAAGATTTATTTAAGCCACTAATACATTTAGAATTCGCTCTAAAAATAATTAAATCAAGTTATAATAATCCAAGAATTAGCCTAGATGGACGAAACCCCTCTAAAAGAATAACAAATAAACTAAAAGAAGAGGAACGAGAAGAAAAAGAAGAAATAAAAGATATCACGATACTTCATAAAAATAATAACGATAGTGAAATAAAGAAGCTACAAGAATTAATTATAGAATTAAAAGATAAGATATAAATACTTTATTAAAATGCACAGTACTCACCATATAAACAAGTTAATAGAAAAAATAGACACTATAGATCTTACTTCAATAAATGACATCACTATGGTTATACAAGAACTATCATACTTTGTCTCTGATATTGTAGAAGAAAAAATGAGTATTGGAATCACAGAGACATTAGAAGAAGCTGTTTCTAAAACCGAATTAATTACTGATATAATAACTTAGTCTAAGTAAAATAAAACAAAAACTAATGAATAATTAAAACTCAGTTTTTAATAAGTATCAATAAGATAGGAAGACTAAAAAATCTCATTACGAAACAGAAAATTATAATGGTTGAGTCATGTCACTATCTCCTTCCATGAAGAACAAGTAAAAAATGAAGAAAACAAAGTTACGTACGAAAGACCATGAGTGTATATCAATTTTGGGGTATCAGATTCTTTGGTCAGAATCTTTATGTAACATCATGAGTGTATATCAATTTTTGGTATCAAATTCTTTGGTCAGATTCTTGGTATCAGAGCCAACAAACCCACAAAGTCAATCAACCCAAGAGTAAAAACAAAATATTAAATATTAAATGAGGAAATAACAAAAAAGTGCAACCCGATTCAACCCAACGGGCTCACTTTGACACCCCTAATAATCACCTTCCTCCTAAAATCCAAATTAATGGCTAAATTGCAAGTTTGGTCACTTGAATTACTAGTAAAGTTCACGTTAGCCACTATAATTACTTTATTTCATCCGTAGTCACTTAAATTAGGTTAACAGTTCAGGTTTGGTCACTGGCCCGTTAGTCTCCGTTAACTATTGCTTATGTGACAGTCAACTCTTATAGTTGACCATTAAATAAGTGACGTGGTAATTGAAAAATAATAAAATATAATTATTTTTTATTTTTCAGCTAATTATTATAAATTAAAAAAAGAAAATCCTAATCTCTTTAATGATTATTTTCCACAGTCGTCGGCGTTGCAATTCTACTACCCACCGTCCTCCTCCTCCGATTCCGTCGCATGAATCCTTAAAAAAATAATAAATTAAAATAAAGGTGATGAGAGTGTGGAAAATTTCGAAAAAAGGGGCAGAAGATTAGGTTTTGCCACTTTGCACCCTCTGATTTGTCCTTCTACAATTCTCGTTTTGCTTGCCTGAATGCACTATATGGAGACTATTTGGCAACAACATTAACTCCAGCTGGCGGCTCCTGGTACCCCGTCGTGATTCCGTTGTTACCCTCTGTCACCATCGCCTCCAACTCGTTGTTTCGCGTTGGTAGCACCATCAACTTATCTATGGAGCCAATTACGTCGTTGATTCCCTCTGCTCTGCCCCTTCCGTGTCACTAGCGGCTCCATAATAATTCTGATAATTAGTAGCTCACGGGTAATTGACCTCTTGAAACCGGCTTTGGTCAGCAGTAGTGAATGGGTGTCGAACCTCGGCTGCCGACGTTGCCGTTTCCCAAGCACTATACCTGACCCCATAACCCTCCTCATTATCATAGTCTTGCTGATTCCAGCCTTGATAATGTCCCCAATTCGAGGTTGGACTTCTCGTTTTCTCGGCGGCAATCCCGAATCCGGTCGCTTGAATCCGGAGTGGCTGAGTTATGGAGGCAGGCGAAGGTGTCACTGGAATTCAAAGTATCGATGAAAACTAATCGAACACAGGCGGCGGCGTTGTGCAACACAACATTTCTGGCTCCGACAAACAGGCTAGACCTGTAAATTTTTGGCGAAGAAGAGGAGGAGGACGCCGATGAGAAGACATAGCGCAAAGGAGTGTACAAAACAGGGGAAGAGGAGTAAGAGTTGAGGAGAGAGGATGACGAAGACGCGACGGCCGGAGGGTCGTTGCAGCGGCTGTTACGGTAGTGCTTATTCCGCTTGTGGTGATGTAGAGAGGGGATTGACGAACAAGTTGAGAGGGGTGAGGTTGGGTCGTATAAGAATAGAAGAAAAGAAAGAATTTTTTTTTTTAATGAATGTGAAAATGAGGTGGAAATTTTAAATGATTAAATTTTATTATTATTTTTTAATTGCCACGTCAGTCATTTAACGGTCAATTATAAGAGTTGACCGCTACATCAGCAAAAGTTAACGGAGACTAACGGCCAGTGACCAAACTTGAACTGTTAACCTAATTTAAGTGACTACAAATGGAATAAAGTAATTCTAGTGGCTAACGTGAACTTTACTAGTAATTCAAGTGACCAAACTTGCAATTTAGCCCCTAACTATTGAGCCCATCGAACCTGGCCTTTCCTTGCCCTGTTCTAGGGTTCCTTTTCTGGATTTGCTCTCCTTGGCGCTGGGTTATGCATCTAGGGGTCTCCTCTCTAGATGGTGGGTTCATCAACATGCATGGTGAATCGATTCATCAATTTCCCCTCCGTTCCTCCTGTTGGTAGTTCTCTGCCTCTTGGTCGGCGTCGGTGGAAGGAAGGCGGTGTCTAGCCCTTCTGGTTGCGGTAGCAGATCTTGGATTTTGGGGTTTGTCCTCTTCTCCCTTGACCAAGTTTTTGGTGCCTCGTCTCCCTCTGCTTTTTCAGTTGGGAGCATTTCGATCCTCTACCCTTTCAACTGCCATGTAATCCCTTACAAGAGATTCATTGTGTTGAGCATCTTCGAGCGACTCCTAGGTGGCGGCCTATGGCGTTGTGTTCAATTTTCGTGGACTCGGTTGGATCGGACGAGCTGATTGTGCTTGGTGCTCTTTGATTGGTTTGATTGCAAGCGAGCTTTTGGTGTATTCTGGATCTGATTCAAGTGGTCTTTTTTTAAGTTGATCCTTTTTGTGTTGTGTTCTCCTCTTGTTGTTTTTCTTAACACAGATTGTTCAGCTGTGTGCTTGAGTTTGTTTGACCTTGATTGTTTCTAAGCTTCTGTGTTGGCTTGCCTTGTACCTTTCTTTCAAAGAGCAATACAAGTAAATCTTTTGTATAAAAAAAAAAAAAAAAAACTACACCTATGAGGCTATGACAAAAAAATCAGGGCGGCCTACAAAATGTTTGGACTTTCAGCAGACTCAAGTTTATGGGCCTGTGGGCTAAACCTATTCCCTGGCTAGCTCCAAGTTTGTTCTCGTATCGGGCTGCAACGGATCCAGTTTCGTTTTAAAGCATCAAACCGGCGTAGCTGTTCGTAAACCCTGCCGCCCTTTACTCTCTCGAAGAATTGGTTAGGGTTAGGGCTGGAGCTACTCCCACTCCGCCGTTCCTGCCTCTTAGGTCTTGCCTCCCTAACCTCATCCTTCTTCTATTTAACAGCCGCGCTTCCTCATTCTGTCATTCCATCCACCACAAAGCTTAAACCATTCCGCCGCCATTGAAATTCTTGAAGGTTCTTCTCCAATTCCCAGATTTTCTTTCCTTTTCTTGTTACAAACTATTTTCTTTTCTCTTGCTTATCGTATCGAAGCCGGATCGGGAAGGAAGGGGAAGAGGGATCGATTGCGGTGATTAGAATATATAATTCCTCGTTCTGAATGCCTTTGGCATGACAGACTCATTATACACCCATAGAATCTGAGCATCGTCCCCCTCAGTCCTCTCTTATCCTAAAAGTTCTTAGTTTGCTCAGTATTGCGTTTGTTTTGTGGGTCTTGTTTGATTTTAATGTTTTTTCCCCCTCGAATGTTATAGCTTCCAGTGATGATCAAAATCATAACTTTCGTTCTTCCGAGAAACCCCATGCGGAAACTTTTGGAGACCTGAACTGAGGAAGCTTGATAAATTTTGTCAACCATTCTTTTATCTTTTTTATTCAAATTTCTGAGCAAGTGTTTTCAACCAAGTGAATATTGTGAATCAGGAGCTGCCAGTCACTATATGAAGGACACTGTTGACATGAATTTACAATGTCTTTGAGGGTCAGCTTCTAAAATCCACTCGGTGGTGTTTAAAGCCCTAATCCGATGGAAGGAACACTTCTATGGATTAGGGTTACGCACGCCTCCAAATTTATGTGAAGAACAAAACTCAAGTATACTTGAGATGTGTCTCTACGCTATTGATTCTATAATCTCCTCATTTCTCAGACTTGGAAACTACTTCAAATCTTAAATCTTGGTTGTGGATTCGGATTCGTGTTCTTAATTGGTGGAACCCAAAATCCCTCTTTATTCATTGCTTCGCTACTTTGTTGCTGGTGATTGATTATCGTGGTTTGCAAGATGAATGGGATGGAATGTTTCTTACCACTGAGCTGAATTTTGAATGGAATAATGTATTCCTCTACAACATCAGCCTAGTTTCAGCTATGCAAGTCTGTTCTTTGTGCTGTGCCATTACATCTTGAGCGTGAGATGTTCTGGCATTTTCTCTAACTGCAGAAACTTTTGCTAGGAACAGGTGAAAGAGATTCAGAAGAGAATTAGATCGACTCAAAAGGAAGATGACTTCCTTGTTTGTGTTTGTGAAAGGACGAATGTGAGGGAATTCGTCCGAACTTGAGTTGAGGCCGAGCCCAATACTTGCCCCAATAGAAACACCAAGGACGAGCCCACTTTAACTCGGTCTGTCAAAGTTACCAACTCTGGTCCAAATAAATCTACACATAATATAATATGCCGAAGGGAAAAATGGGAGCTCCATTTCAAATTTCCTGCAACAAGAGTGAAAGTAGGAAGAACATTTTGGTCTTCACAATTGTACTGGGATTGAACCATGACCATTTTAAAGAAAAGCAAATTTTCTGCAACAAGAGTGAAAGTAGGAAGAACATTTTGGTCTTCACAATTGTACTGGGATTGAACCATGACCATTTTAAAGAAAAGCAAGGATAATAACCAATCACACTAAGCACATTTGTTGTATTTTTTTAAATTAAAAACATATAATACGTAGAGGAAAAAACCCTTCCCCCATTTCAAATTCCCTGCTCCATGAGTGTTTGTAGGAAGGGTAGAATAAGAAGTGTCAATTTTTTTCTCTTTCCTCTGTGGAACGGGCCAACTTACCGTACACATGCGAATTTAAACGGGTCCAGGAGTGTCAATTTTTTTTCTTTAAACCCTTTTATTTCTCCGTGGTGATAAAATATATATGAAAAAGAAAAACTAATACTCCTTTTTATTGTTAAAAATAAAAAATTTAACAATAAACTAATGCATGGTATCTAATGGGCTAACCGCTAACCATAAAATAAAAGAGTTGAATGGGCCTGACCTACATGAGATTTGGCCATCAAGTAAAACAAATGAACATCATTGGTTTGTCATTCTAAAACAAGCTATTTTCTATTATGCTATTATTTTATATCTTAGTGGCTAAAATATAATGTATTTTAAAGTTATTCAATGGTACAACCTCGACCAATACAATTAGTCCAATTTTTATCATTTCAAATATATATTTTATAATTATTTGATATCACAATGATCAAATTATAGTGTATTTTATAGGGAATCGTTTGGTATTTGTTAGTAAAAAACTAAACATAACGATCTATTTGGTTATTTTAAACATTATAACGATCCTAAACATTTTCAGTTCCTTTTGAATTTCCATGGTTTTAATCTCGATTAAGTGATGTGCAAATGGCGAATTGTAGTCGTCTCTTTTCTTTCACTATTTTTTTTATTTTCAAATAGAAAGTTTAAAAGTAAAGAATAATTAGAATTTGGCATGGGTCGATCGAACAGGCTGAATTTCAAGTTTTGGCCCGTTTGTTTTATGCATTGCAAATTTATTAGCATGTTGATGGAAATGGCTTGGAAAAAAGACATATAAGTTGTACCTTTGCAGAAATGTCCTCAAATGTTTGAATGCTTTGTGAATCAGGTTCCGTGACTTTTGTGATGGTGTATGTGCTTGACGATTGCTCTTTTGATTTTCCCTATGAGTTGTGATACCAGTTCTGGTGGTTGCAGCATGTTGTCGTTGTTGGCCTGTAAAAGTTGTTCCACCGTGGTGCTAAATACCTTTCTTTCTTTTTTAACAAATTGTGTGGTAGTGCTATGAAACAGACCACCCATGAATGTTACGCTTATTATGGTCTGTTCTTACTTCCGGTGGTGAGTTGTGAATTGAGAATCATATTCGCCTACCGCACTGTGTCTGGCTGGTGGCTGCTTACTGTGCTCTCTAGAGTTATGAAACAGACTACCCATGAACGTTACCCTTAAGAGTCCATAACTTTGCGAAAAACCAAATTTAGGCAATCAAAGGTGGTGGATGTATGATATTTTTTATGGCTTAATTGTTTGTGAATTGGATATATGACCTTTAGTAACTCAAAACCTTCGAGACACATATCACCTACTGCATTGTATCATTTTGCCTGGGTGCTTGCTGTGTTGTCAAACTTCTTTGCCGCTGCTGCTGCTTTTACACTAACAGGGGAGTTAAGAACCCATGAATGTTTCCGTTTGACACAAACAGGAGGACTTGCTTCTAAATCGTGCAGTTGATATACTGGAGACCAGAACAAAAGCAATGTATAACATCAAAACCAACCATCTGAACTATTAGCATTGTTGCTTTACTCTTTTTTCGTGGTTAGGTCTCCTTCAAAAAATTTAGTTTGATTTTAGAAAATTTTGCTTCTGCAGTCCTGTCTTGCCACCAACGCGTTCAGTAGATGGAGATGGCAGAGGCGAAGGCTATTTTTGTGTTGTTGTTGCTGGTTTAGGGATCGGTTTGTGAAGAAGAGGGAGAAGAGAGGGGGAAAGGGAAATGCAGGAGAGGGGGTTAACTCTTTTCTCTACAAAAATGGAGTGAAGAAAGGAATTATGATCAGTAAGGATATGGTTATCTTACATAACTGTCTCTATTCTGTTGGAATTGAGCTTGGGAGGCAGTGATAAGGACGAGCTGCAACCAATTCATAGTGAGAAGAGAGCTATGAACTGTGATCATGTCCTATTCCAAGTTAGAAGGTAGTTTTGAGTATAAGGATTATTTAATTTGACAAGTTGTTTCGTCCATGATTCTTGGTAGTTTCAGTGCCATTCTAGCCATTGTTTAGTCTGTAATTTTTGAGAATTGATTTGCGAGTAATGACTTTCACTTAGCTTCACTATTATGCGTGTATTTATTGGCATGTGATAGAATTCTCTTTTCCTTTCTTTGAATTCAGTTTCATACTCTAATTGTATCATTTGTACATAGGCAAATCATGCTCGAGATGACAACTCGCCGATATGGCTGGTGCAAGGAACGGAGCCATCATTAGAATTCAGATCGACAACGGGGAGGGATGCCCAGGACTAATTCAATGATGATTGATGATGGTATAATAAAAACTGCAGTCTGCATCAGCACCAATTTCTAGGCCTAAGTAAAGTTATTCAACCAGAACTCTGCTTAGCGCTAAAAATTCCCCTCACCCAACCTTGATCCTGTTTGACCCACTTATGAAGATTCAAGATATATGACTAATCCTCTCCGTTCGTATTTTCTTATTGACTCTTTCTGACCCTTTAGGTTGGGGCGGGTCGGGAAGAATCGGATTAGTGGGTCGGTCCTAAGCAAGTGGAATCCCAATTCCTTCTACTCTCACTTGCTTTTTCTCCTATTCCACAAGTGGGTAACATACACTAATCCGGCCAACGGGCCGGGTAATAGGCTAGTAAACTAACAGAAGACAACCCCTTTCCCTAAGCTCAGCCTTTCACTACCTTGTCCGGTTGTCCCGACCCTTCTTCCTCTTATTCTAGTCTTTTTTTTTTGAAAAGATTCCTCTTATTCTAGTCACTACCAAGTAATTGGTTGGTAGAGCTTAGTAAATGCTCATTAATACGACTTGTCAAACTGATTAGAAGCAATTATCATTCTATTGTAATTATCTTTCATTTATATGATAATTTTTCAAATAATATGTAAGAGTTGGTATACCTAGCTGGTCATGTACTTATGATAAGAACTCAAAAGAAGAACACAAACACCGGATTTTTACGTGGTTTCGCTGATAATCAGGACTAGTCCACGGGAGAGGTAGCACTCTCCAGAGTCGATCTTATTCAGCTTAGGTTACAGGATACATAGGATGATTAATATATAGCTAGGTTACCTAACGTTGATAATCTAGCTTATACTTAGCCTAGGTACTTACGGTAAGTATTGAGAATTACAATAAGATACCTAAACTAAGTAAAATAATACTTTCAACACCCTCCCTCAAATTGATGGTGCTTACGCAACATCAATTTGTTAGACAAGAACCAATGTCGGCTGGTACCAACCGCCTTTGTCAACAAATCTGCAGTCTGATCTTCTGTTGACAAATAACTAAGCTGAATGACTCCCTCTGTAACAAGCTGCCTGATATAATGAACATGCGTCTCTATGTGCTTTGTCCGATCATGCAGAACGGGATTGGTAGCTATCCGAATAGCACTTGTATTATCCCCAAACAGTTTCATAGGCATACTGCACTCTACATCCAGCTCACCCAGAAGTCGGTGTAGCCATACAAGTTCTCAACTAACCTCTGACATGGACCGGTACTCTGCCTCAGTAGAAGATTTTGAGACCCGATCCTGTTTCTTGCATCTCCATGATACAAACGAGCTACCAAACCGCACACACCATCCTGACGTTGACCGACGCGTGTCAACACATCCAGCAAAATCGGCATCTGCAAATGCCTCCAACACAGGCTCCCCTTTAGCTGGGAAGAAGAGACCAACATCCTGAGTACTTTGCAGATATCGCAGAATCCTGTGCACGGCATCTAAGTGCATCGTACGTGCCCTGCCCATGAACTGGCTCACTACATGTACTGCGTAGGCAATGTGTGGTCGAGTAGAACTAAGATACCTGAGTGAACCAATAATGGTCCGATATTGCGTATGATCATCTAGCAAATCTCCACTAGTTCTACTTAGCTTCAAATTTTGTTCCATAGGAGTTGTACACGACTTGCAGTTTTCAAATTGATGCTCTACCGACAAATCCCGAATATACTTCCGTTGACTAACCAGAATACCATGCTTACTCCTTTCTATCTCCAGTCCTAGAAAGTAAGAAACATTCCCGAGTTCCTTAAGCTTAAAAGCTCGATGAAGAGTCTCAGTGAGTTCCTTAATTCCTGAGTGATCATTACCTGTAATGATCATGTCATCCACGTACAGGAGTAAAACTGTAATCCCATGTATAGTATGTTGCAGAAACAAGGAGGGATCATTTTGACTCTGAGAAAACCCAGCCTACACAACCGTACCATGAAACTTCTCAAACCATGTTCGAGGAGCTTGCTTGAGACCATACAACGACCGCTTCAGACGACAGACTGTATTTGCATCACCCTTAGTATAACCTGCAGGACGAGCCATGTATATAGTCTCTTTGAGATCACCGTGCAAAAAGGCATTTTTAACATCCAATTGCACAAGAGGCCATCCTTTCATAGCTGCAACGACCAATACACAACGAACAGTCTGTATTTTTGCAACAGGGGCAAATGTCTCCTCGTAGTCAATCCCAAACTCCTGACTGAATCCTTGCGCAACAACACGAGCCTTGTGTCGTTCTAGTGAGCCATCTGGTCTCATCTTCACGTCATAAACCCACTTACTGCCATTCACTGACATCTCCGGAGTGCGAGGTACTAGATCCCATGTCTGGTTAACTTCCAATGCATCCACCTCCTCCACCATAGCTGCATCCCATTCAGGAATACCACACGCCTGGCGATAATTTGCAGGTATAAAAATGGGTTCCGCCAAAAATCCCACATAATCATTATGCCGTAAAG